TATCACTGACAGCACGGTACTTCACAATGGATCTTGAAACATTCTTTTTGATGATGAATGTGACACCATTCCTCTTCTATTCATCATTCCCAGCATAGTAGACCATATGATTGTCTGATTCAGCATGGCTGATATCAGTCCATTTCAGCTTACCACCAGCCACTACTTGGAAGAAAGGTTGGACAATCTACTTCCTTAGTGATACCACCTCAGAAACCCAAAGAGGGATCACTATGAATCAAGTCCCTCTTGATGGCACACAACAACAACAACACTTAAGATATTGATCTTTATGTATTCCTTTTCATTTTTGACAACTTCCTATTTTCCTAGATTAATACTTCATATATTCCACATTCTGATTATTAATGGATGTTTGAAGTTGTTTTTTCTTATTTTGAGGTGTGCCCCATCAGCAAATAAAGGTGCAAAAACTTTACTCCAGTCATGTCATTAAAGTCGACTCTAATTTGAGGAGGCAGCTCTTCCCTGGTTGTATTTTGAGTGCCTTCCAACCTGAGGGGCTTATCTTTTTGCATTATATCAGACAATGTTTCAGGTCTATTCATAAAGTTTTCCAGTAATATATCAGTGTTTCACTGCTATTCATAAGCTTTTCACTGGCCAATTTCTCCAGAAGTGGATGGCCCGTCCTTCTTCCCAGTCTGTCTGGAAGCTTTGCTGAAACCTGTCCGCCATGGGTGACCCTGCTGGTATTTGAAATACTGGTAGCATAGCCTCCAACCTCACAGCAACACTCAAGCAACCACAGAACGATAAACTGACAGACAAGTGTTAGCACTGTACTTTTAGGTCCCAGCTTAGATATCCTTTTAGCTGGGAAGCTTTGAACTTAATTAACATTGATTAAATGTCATTCCCATGTTTTTCATTGTGCCTTAGCCTTACCTTACTACTTATCACATGTCATTTTATTGTTTGTTACCTTGACACCTCTGCCTTTTAACTGTAAGCTTCTAGAGACTTATGCTATACTCTATTGCTGTCCTTTCATCTTCAGACCTAACACCTGAAGGCACATGGTACCACAGATATATTAATTTAATGAATTAAAGTACCCAGCCTATGAATGTAACCTATGGTTACTGGGGTCATTGAAAGCTATAGCCATAAGGGCTCCAGGGTGAGTCTGTCTCAGGGGGATACAATGCTTTACTAGGTTTTTTTTTTTTTTTTTTTGGTATCATATACTAAAAGATGGAGCATGGGTTGTCTAATTCTTCTGATATTACAGAATAACTTAAAATTTCCTTTTACTTTCAATGTATTAGGTAAGTTTATTGGAGCAAGCTATCTGTATCTGTGAGAGCCATATTGAGATACATCATGAAACATTGGCCTGAATCTGGGCACAATTCATCTGATAGCCCATTTTCAGCTGTTAACATGAGAGCTGAAACTAGGTGCTGAAAATGAGTTGTCACTTCCTCAGTAACCTTTGAGTTCCTTTCAATTTAATCTGAAGCAAAATTTTGTTTATTTACCTTTTTCCTTATTAGGGTACTCAAGCTATTTCTGTGATAACTCTATTTTTTTCTAAGTTGTCAGTGGGAGTACCAGCCAGTCCTTTTCACTTAAGGAGTGAAACACTTGCCCCTTGAAGTTAGAGTGAGGTGTTCAATAAAAGATATCAGAAGGTTTGACTTTAGACTCTCTAAACCATCTCTCCAAACACGGCACTTGAATTCAGAACAATTGGTCAAGTTCTGCACTAAATATAAGGAACAAATTCTGTGTCTTGTCTAGATAAAGTCAGTGTACCCTTGCATTTAGAGTAGTCAGGGAAGAAAGCTGGCTTTTGTGCAATAAACTGTGTAACTCATTGAAAAATGAGTGTTGACATAGTTAATTATGACAAATGAAGAAAGAAAAGGACATCACATTGATTCCTGAATTCAACCCAGACTTCTGTGCCTTACTTGTCTACTTTCTGTCTATGTGTCTGTGAACGTCTGTATTTTCAGCATAGCCATTTTGATATACAGTGTTCACATTGTGAGGTCTGTGTATCAGTGGCCTTGTAGGAAAATATAGCCCAAAGAGGGGAAGCAGTCACTTCAAAGCATGCCACAGTGCTTCGATGTCGCCAGAAAATTAACCATGTCAGCATAATCATACATTTTTAAAGGCCTGAAACCCTTCCTATGCTGATACTTAGCAATTTCTGCATTAACTCATTTCTACCATGAGGAGATGCATTGAAGGCTTTTTTGTTGTTATTATTAAATCCCCCAAAATCAGAACTGGTCTGTCTCTGGCTTCTGTGCTGGGAGAGAAGTTGTGGAATCCGATGTGGAATGGGGTGGAAGGAGAGATCAGTTCTATCCCCTTGGTGCCATTATTTCTTCCTACCACTCTCCTGTTGTAATATAACATATTCTGTTCAACGTATGTCCTCAGACCCACTCTTACCACAGTGGGGAAAACCAACTCTTCACTAACCCATCACAATGTTTTAATACTCTTGACTTGATCTTGATGTCCTTATCAAGATAATTTTATTAGCTAAAATTGCATTTTGTGTCAATCAACTAGTCCTCCATTATACATAAGCAGAAGGCAGATACTTAATTGAATATCTGAACCTCTTAGAAGTTGAGAGAGATGGTAGTTATATGATATTGCAGAATAGTTTAAAAGTCGTCTGATACTACAGAATAGTTTAAAAATTGGAGAAGATTCAGAGAAGATAGGCAAAAATTGAATAAGCTCTTTGAAAACAAGTTAAAAGTCATGGGAGTTTTAGTCTTTAGAAAAGAACAGGGTCAATGAAGCATTTACATTTCAGAAGTAAGATCATTTATAATATAGAGAATAATGATGAACTGGATTACCTACACCGTTCGGAAGACAGGAGGAAAAGGATGTAATTACAGAGCAACGCATTTGATTTGTATGAAACGAAGATTTCCCTTACACTTTAAAGATTGATAGATCACGGAACAAATTACAAAGGACTGTGTACTTTATTTTGGAGGACCTTACAAACAGGATAGATTCTTTTCTACCTGGTATAGCTGACAGGAATGGACCATGCATTTGTTTTAGAATAAATCCTTAGATTAAAAGAGTTAAAATTGACAAAAATTTTTCTCTGGCCATATCCATGTTGTTGTTGTTGTTGTTATGTGCCATCAAGTCAGACCTGATTCATAGCGACCCCTCCTTGGGTTTCTGAGGCAGTATCACTACGAAAGTAGATTGCCACATCTTCCTTCTGAGGAGTGGCTGGTGGGTTTGAACTGCCAGCCTCTGGTTAGCAGTCAAGTGCCTTAGGCACTACGCTACCAGAGTTGCTGGCCATATCCATAGGTAGTTTAAAAAAAGAAAAAAAAATCTCATATGAATAACATTTAGGCTTAAATCCCACCTTAAAACTACCACTTAATCTTATTTTGTGAAAGAAGGTTGCAAGTTCTTAGGTAATTGCTTTCTTGATCTGCTTTAGATTCAATAATTTTCTTTCACTGGTTTTAATTGTGTTAAAGTATGTTTATTAAGGTGCTAATGAGACTAAAGCCATACTGATTAAAACAGAATTATTCATTTTAAACGTTTGGATTTTATGAAATCAAAGTAGGTTCTAATATTAGAAGATGAATCCCATGCTCTTAATAAGTTGTTTCTTATGTATCTTGAGCACATATATATATGTATATATATGAATAATAATAGATTTTTCTAGATCTGTTAAAGTTACAGAATCTCTATGTAATAAAACTTTTTTTTTCTTTTATCATAGATGAAGTTTATCCTAAGAACTCTAGGTAGGGTGCATCTTCCCTAGTGATTTTTACAGTGTCTAATTAATAAATAAATACATTGCTGGCTAGGCAATACATGTTAATAATAGGTTTTGCTTAACATCACCCTTTATCATTTTTAGAATGTTTGTGATTGAGGTTTTCTTTTTTTCTTTCCAGCACCCCCTTCCTATTCATTGATTTTTCATTGCAGTCACTCTTCTTTTCTTTGGACCTACACTTTAAACTCTATCTTTCAGATGTTCATTTCTAATTCTGTCTTACCTGTTTTCATGTGCCTACTATCATTTTATTTGCTGCCCATTTTCAGTTTCATGTTTGTCTTATTTTTATAATAGGTCAGTTACTGAAATCTTTTGTGTCAATTTTTTCTTGCCTTTTTGATAGCTCCCAGTCACACCCATTTTGGTTGATCTCTGAAGACACATGAGTAGTTTCCTTCTTAGAATACACTGACTCAGACTGTGGCAGGGACTTCCACTCCTCAGAAGCCCGGCTTCTGGGTCCCCACTCCACCGTCACAGTCACTACCTTGGTTCAGGCCCCTCACTGACCTCTTGAACGATTGAAGTTCTTCTGGCTCTGCCTCCCCACCTCCCATTATCAGCCCCTCCCTTTTCTCACACTGTGGCCTTCCTAGGATTCCAGTCTGCACTGTTGCTCCTTGCTTAAAAACCCGATCCCTTCCTCGGAAGGAAGGTTGGGCAACCTACTTCTGTAGTGATACTGCCTCAGAAACCCAAGGAGGGGTCGCTGTGAGTCGGGTCCAACTCAATGGCACATAACAACAACAACAACGATCCCCTGTCTACAGGATGCAATCTCAACTCCTTAGCACGGGATGAAAGTCCCTTCAGGAGCTGACCATTCCTATCGGCTTAGCCTGCTCCTCTCTCTCCAGCAACTCCTCACAACTTTTCTAGACCAGCACTTAAGCCACATCAAACTCAGCACTCTGGGGCAGGGACCAGACTGAGGAAAGGCATGGGAATGGGCATTGCGCGTATACTTATACAATGGGGGTGATAGAAAGTGGGCCAGTTGGGGCTGAGCACCAGTTGTGAAGCAGTGCCAGTGCACTGATGCCCAGCTAAGAAACGGTGATGAAGTGTTACCAAGCCATTCTCTCTAAGGGGAGAGAAAGCTGACTCTGAGGGCTAGCCATTACCCACATCCTTACCTGATGCCCTCCACTGTTTCTTTCTCCAACCTCAGCCTGTGATGGTGATCACTGGGGGCCCCATTGCAGCAGCCGATGCCAATGCAAAAATAGGGCTCTGTGCAACCCTATCACGGGGGCTTGCCACTGTGCTGCAGGCTTCCGGGGCTGGCGCTGTGAGGACCGCTGTGAGCAGGGCACCTATGGTAATGACTGCCACCAGAGATGCCAGTGCCAGAATGGAGCCACCTGTGACCACGTTACAGGAGAATGCCGCTGCTCACCAGGATACACTGGAGCCTTGTAAGTGACATATGGGTGGGCAGAGCCCACCTACCCTCTCCATTCATGCTGCCACTGCCACAGTTTTCTTCTTGGTGCCTCTCTTTCCATTATTAATTGACAGGGCTGGGCTCCAGGCCCACATTTCGGTATAAGCAATGATGACCACTTAGTACTTTTGCTTTGAAACATCACAGCACAATGAGGACCAAAGAGCTAGCTTCAGCCTCCATGCTTTCCTTTTGGCAGGGCAAAGATAGAGAGGGTCAGGATATTGTGTTGAATGATGATATTTGGGGTTGGTTGGGGCAGACCTGGGGTTCTGTTCTGAATCTCCTGCAATTGCATTCCTTTTACACTGCTGGCTGTTAAAGGTCCATGTTTTTCTGCCCTGTGTGGCAGTCAACTAGCCAGGTAAAGTTGGGCAGGTTCAGTGCCTTGGAAAAGAGAAAAAAAGAGAAGATGTTAGAAACAAACCAAAGCAGTAGCTGTTGAGTCAGTTCCTACTTATGGTAGCTCCAAGTGTGTCAGAGTAGAACTGCTCCATAGGATTTTCAATGGCTGATTTTTCTGAAATAGATTGCCAGGACTTTCTTCCAAGGCACCTCTGGATGGACTCAAATTTCCAACTTTTGGGTTAGCAACTGAGCACATTAACTGTTGCACCAACCCACAACTCTAATGTTAGAAATAGCACATAATAAAAGATTAATTGCATTATTTAATGCCCATGGATATATATGTAGCTTTGTGTATGTAAAATTATATGTAATACATCTGTGTAAGTTATGTGCCTATACATAGTTTAATTCTATCTGCACTGTAAGTTAGCTTCCACTACTTTATTTTATGGAATGGCCATTCTTCTGGTTGCTTGTATTAGCAACAGACTAAAAAGCGACAGAATTTTCCCAAAAAGTAAGAGACAGAAAAATATTATTCCCTTACTGAGAAAATTACACTTGTAAATCACAGAACTAAAACTTGGAAAAATGCAGATGATTAGGTAAATACTTCCTGCTGACAGCATTAAGTCTATAAAATAGAACTAAAGGAAAGATTGCATTAGCCTAGAAAGTCCTGATTTTCAGGAGAATGGATGGTCATCTCAAGCTGTTTAATTGTTAATATTGCTTTTATGAGTTTTTATCAAGACCACAATTGAATAAGGCTGTGGAAAATTTGGAGCTATTTCATAGGAGAGCAAAAAACACAAAAGCTTAGAGAAAAAAGTTCATATAATATACAGGCAGGTTAAAAACGGAGACTCTACAGTCTAGAGAAGAGAATGCTGAAAATTGATTATGAGGAATGTATGCACAAAGGGGTGATGAGCAAATGTTTCAATCTTCTTTGAGGATAGACAAACACACAAACAAAAGCTGACCTAAATGTAACACATAGGAGTTATAAGAGCCACATGGAAAATTCCTGTTACCAAGGAATGTTTGGCTGTTTTTCTTCCCTGGTGCTCCTAGTCTCCTCAAACTGAAACGGTTTCATTAGAAAATACTCCAAAAGAAAGGGAAGGACTAGATGACCCCTCAAAACACTTCCAGCCAATATGATGGATGAACTTAATGTTAATTAAATGAACAATTATTGAACAAAGAATGCTTGTCTATTTCAAGGCTCTGGGCGTTGTTCATCAACTATGTATCTATCACCTGAGGGTCCTGTAGTTGAGTAAATAATGATGTCCTTTGTCACACATTAATCCTGCAGCTGTGAGGATCTTTGTCCCCCTGGCAAGCATGGTCCACAGTGTGAGCAGAGATGCCCTTGCCAAAATGGAGGAGTGTGTCATCATGTCACCGGTGAATGCTCTTGCCCTTCTGGCTGGATGGTAAGCTTTTCATCCCTCACAATGTCACCTGTCCTATGGTACTGAAGTGAATAGGCATGCAGAGGGCTTTAACACACACACACACACTAACACACACACTAACACACACACTATACTAATGGTTAAAGATCTTGAAACTGGAAGTATCTGGCCATCTCAAAGCTGGAATGCCTTAGTCTAGAGAAGGCAGAAGCTGATTTAATCCTGGACTTGAAGTGAGATGGGCAATCTACTTCTGTAGGGATACTGCCTGGAAACCCAAGGAGAGGTTGCTATGAGTCAGGTCCAACTCAACGGCACATAACAACAGCAACAACATGGTAAAGATTGTGGTCATCTGTCCTGAATTTCCCCTCACAATAAAAAGGAGAGAAATATGTAGGCTCACATATGAATGCTGGTACTGGAATTATTTAAATAATCATTTTCATAGTTGTGTTCCATGTATTACTACTCTTCTATTTCTTAACAGAGTGTTACATGAAAGAAAGTTATCTGTCCCCATAAATCAGAGTCACAATGAGGTTAAGCCAGATTTACCAAGTATTGAAGAAATTCTCAGAGCCTTTAAGGTAATAACTAAGAGGGATCTATAACTCATCATATGTCCCAAATGCTGACCATGATACCCTTTCTTCATGTAGCATATCATAGGTCTAGTTGTTGTTAAGTATTGCCAAATCAATCCTAGCTCGTAGCAACCTTGTGTACAACAGAAAGAAATACTGCTTGGTCCTGTGCCATCCTCACAATCATTGCTATGTTTGAACCCATTGTTGCAGCCACTGTCAATCCATCTCGTTGAGGGATTTCCCACTGTCAATCCATCTCGTTGAGGGATTTCTTCTTTTTTTTCTGACCCTCTACTTTACCAAGTATGATGTCCTTCTGCAGGAACAAGTCCCTCCTGATGACATGTCCAAAGTATATGAGATAAAGTCTTGCTATCCTCACTTCTACAGAGCTTTCTTGCTGTACTTATTTCCAAGACAGATTTGTCCGTTCTACTCTTAGTCCACAGTATATTTAATGTTCTAAACCAACTTCCTAATTCACATTCATCAATTCTTCTTCCATCTTCCTTATTCATTGTCCAGCTTTTGCATGCATATGAGGTAACTGAAAATAACATGCCTTGGGTCAGACACACCTTAATCTTCAAAGTGACATTTTTGCTCTTTAACAGTTTAAAGCAGTGTTTTGCAGCAGATTTGCCCAATGCAGTGTGTTACTCAGTTTCTTGACTGCTGCTTCCTTGGTCATTGACTGCGGATCCAAGTAAAATGAAATCCTTGACAACGTCAATATTTTCATGATATTGCTTGTTGGCCCAGTGGTGAGGATTTTTGTGTTCTTTATGTTGAGGTGTAATCCATACTGACAGCTGTAGTCTTTGAGCTTCATCAGTAAGTACTTCAAGTCCTTTTTGCTTTCAGCAAGCAAGGTTGTATCATCTGCACATCACAGGTTGTTAATGAGTCTTTCTCTGATTCTGATGCTGCATTCTTCTTCATATAGTCCAGCTCCACAGATTGTTTGCTCAGCATACAGTTTGAATAAGTGTGGTGAAAGGATACAGTCCTGATGCACATGTTTCCTGGTTTTAAACCATGCATTATCCTCTTGTTTTGTTCAAATGACTGCCTCTTGGTTGATACACAGGTTCCTTATAAGCACAATTAAGTTTTCTGGAATTCCTATTCTTTGCAATATTATCCATAATTTCTTATGATCCATCCAGTCAAATGCCTTTGCATAGTCAATAATATGCAGGTAAATGTCTTTCTGGTATATTCTGCTTTCAGGTAAGATCCATCTGATGTCAGCAATGACATGCCATATTCCACGTCCTCTTCTGAATCTTATTTGAATTTCTGGCAGTTCCCTGTCAATATACTTCTGCATCTGTCTTTGAATTATCTTCAGCAGAATTTTACTTATGCACAGGTCTAGAGTTACATGTAATGCATGCTGTCAAAGTTGGTTTACTAAAACTAAATGTCTCTGGAATCAGAAAATAATATTGGTTATTTTTTTCAGTTGATGTCAGCCTATGTCTGCTAGAGGGCAGAAGAGTGAATAACGAAGTGTATGCCTTGTCTCCTTGCCTTCACTAACAAACTACTTAAAAGAGAATTTTACTTCATGATAACCTTCTATCTCATCAACTGTAATGAATCCTCATTTGCAGATGCTACAAGTGACTTCTTTATTGCCAAGTTTACTTGACTGCTATCTTGTTCTCATTATGCTTCACTCCATGCAAGCTTTTGACACTACTGATCATCCACCTCCCTTCCTTAATATCTTTGTCCTTCACTTCTCTAATTACCCTCTCTTTTATTTTTTTATTTTACCCATTTTTTTTTTTTAATTGTGATTTGGTTGAAGATTTACAGAGCAAATTCACTTTCCATACAGCAGTTCACATATACTTTGTCTCATGTCATTGACCACAGTTTACCACAATGCAACAGCTCCCCTCCCACTTCCTCCCCACAGTTACCTCTTCCCAGTGTCCATCCCTCCATACACTCCTGCCCCCTGAGCTGTCTCCCTGTGCATAAGCAGCCCTTCTTTGTCCCATGATTGTTTTCTCCAAGGAGTGTATCTACTTGAGGTAAATGTTCAACTCATACGCCTGTCTTTTGTTTGGCTGGAAACCACAAGTATGGGTTCAATTCCATATATTCCATATATTCCAGTAGTTGCCAATACTGTTTACTACTTAATCCTTGGCAAGGAAAAGAGTTTACTAGAGTTACAGATTGTCCCAAGAGCTCCATGTTAGGGGCCATAGTCTCAGTGATTCCACCAGGCTCTATTAGACCAGCAAACCTGGTCCCCACCTTTTTTTTTTTTTTCTCCAAAAGATTTTGAGTTTTGTTCCACATTGTTCTCCCTCTCTATCAAGGATCTCCTACATAGATCCCCTTCCAAATGGATGACAGTGGTAGCCAGGCACCATCTACTTCTTCTGGTCTCTAATTACCCTCTCTCAATCCTCTTCCTTTATCTCCTCCCCTGCTCGCCTTTCTTCTATATACCACTTAATTAGCAGTATTTTCTAAGTTTCAGTGTTTGTCCTTCTTTTTTCTCACTTTGAGATCTCTCTGGATAATCTTATCTAGGCCATGGCTTTAATAATACCTGCTGTTTTTCCAAATCTTGACCTTATTCTCCTGAGCCTTGTTGTTTGTTGTTATTTGCCATTGAGTTGGACCTGACTCATAGCAACCCCTCCTTGGGTTTCCGAGGCAGTATCACTATGGAAGTAGATTGCCCAATCTTCCTTCCGAGGAGTGACTTGTGGGTTTGAACCGCCAGCCTTCTGGTTAGCAGTCAAGTGCCTTAGGCATTATGCTACCAGACATGTGTATTTCCACATTCCATTAGATACTCCAGCCTACAAACCTATAGGCATGGAACCACTGTCTTCCTGGGCTTTGCCAAAACTCTAGTCTTGGGAGTTATAAATGAGAGTGGAATTGGTCTGGATGGCCTTTTGTTGTGGGCACAGAGCAAAGGAGAATTAGATTCCATTGCTTGATGGAGGTCATAGGAAGTATTGGAGAGTTCAAGTTATCAAGACCACTAAGGTAACTGTCAGATCCCAGGTGAAGGTTAGAAAAGGTAAATATGCAAGACAAGGTTCTATTCTAGAAGCAGAGCCTGAAGAAATCCCTGGAGAATAAGATAGAGGGGGTCCTTTTAAATGCCTGAAGATGAGGCAAGCAAGGTAGCTATTGAAGGAATAATGAATTGGTTCTAATAGGCCCATCAAATTCAATCTTAATAAAATGAAATTTGCTATGTGCCCAGGCCTTTCTTAAGCCTACTCTTCTTCTACCTTTTCTATTTTAGCTAAAGCCAACACTACTCTCTTAGTTGTTAATGGTAAAAGTGCTGAAATACCTTTGACTCCTTCTTTTTTTCCAATTCATGTATTCCAGTAGTTGCCAGTACTGTTTATTACTTAATCCTTGGCAAGGAAAAGAGTTTACTAGAGTTACAGATTGTCCCAAGAGCTCCATGTTGTTTGGATGAGGAAATGCAGGCATTCTACTCCTAGGACTTTTGTGTAAATATTGTATGTAGTACCGCCTCATCTGGTGGTTAAAGCTTCTCTCTTCTCAGTTGACATGGGAAAATGGTAACCATAGACTTGGACCATGGTCCCGGTAGATAGACAAGTGGACTTCTTTGTCTGCCCAGAGCAGTCTTCCTTTCTGCATTCTAGCATCTGCTCTTGTCCTACTACCTTGACAGATGTTTCTTATCAGATACTTCAAGTCATATTTTCTCTGTGTGCTAACTGAAATTTCGACTTATACTTCTCCTTTACAACATTATTATTTGTGCTTTTCAAAGGTGATTTTCAAAGTTGAATACAGGCATGCCTTTTTTTTTAATTGCACTTCACTTTATTGTGATTTGCAGAGATTGCATTTTTCAAAAATTGAAGGTTTAGGACAAGCACATCTATCAGTGCCATTTTTTCAATAGCATGTGCTCATTTTGTGTCACATTTTGGTAATTCTCACAATATTTCAAATGTTTTCATAATGCTATTCCACACTTACTAGACTACACTATAGAGTAAACATAATTTTTATATGCACTAATACCAAAGGAGCAAGGCTGCATCTTTTGACCCCCTCTAATTCCACAAGAGGAGGACAGAATCACCATCAGTAGCCCAAGGCCTATCCCTGCGAGGCCAGACATGCTGCCTCCCTCCAGCCATTTCACCAACCCTGACACCAACCATTCCTTCCACAGTATCCACCACCTCTCTGCTGGGTTCAGTAATTTGCTGCACTGGCCACACAGAACTCACAGATTATTGGGGTTTGTTAGGGAAGCAACTGGCTACAATTCAGGTTCAGGAACACACTCAGTCTCTCTCAGCCTGCCATCTCTCAGTCGACAGTCTCTCTCAGTCTCTATCCCAGCAGTGCGTGTCTCTTGGTATCTCTCTCAGCAATGCGTGTCTCTTGGTATCTCTCTCAGCAATGCGTGTCTCTCACATATCCCAACTGGCAGTGAGAGATTTCTTCTGCCTCTAAGAGGGTTCCTTTTGAGCCTGGCAGAGTGGCCAAACTAACCAATCCCAACATCAGAATTCTATACACCTGAGAGAGAGAGAACTTCCCAGAAGATTGCTTCATGCCACTCTCAACAGAAATACCCCAGGTGGATAACTTTAACAATCAGAAGCTACTCAGTTGCTCACAGCAAATTCCACCCCTGGTTTACAAAGACTTATGGCTAGAAAAGCCACACTATGTAATTTACTATGCTGCAACTAGGAAACCAAAATATTTTATTACATGTTTTATTATGATATTCCCTTTATTGTGGTGGTCTAGAACCAAACATGCAATATCTTTGGAGTATGTTTATACATATCCCTATAACACATACACATATACAGATGTATTTAAACTAATAGAAATAATGTCCTACTTAAAATTAAAGTTGGTTGCACACACGAATATATAAACAATGTTCCTATTACAGCAGCTCAGAAGCTTATGTGGGGCCACTATACTATGTGAGTAGTTAGAGTGAGGCCCTGAGAGAGTTAGAATTTTCACTAGACACATCTCACAACAGATTTGCCCTTGGCACATTATTCCTTCCATTGCGTTTTCACATTTCTGTAAGTACGATATATTGTCCTAGATTGGGAGAATTACAGCTCTCTTTTACATTTGGCCCCTCACCACATCATGAGATAAGGTTGTGACTTTATCTTTGATTCTTGATGTTACTTTGCACTATGCCTAGCACATAGATGGTTCTCAGTAAGTGTGGATTTGAATCATCTCTGAAAGGTCTTTTTAGTTCCAAGAATCTGTGGAAGGACTTTCCCTATTTGTAGACAGCTAGAAACCACTAGAGGAGACTTAATTAGCACACCAACTGCCTTTTGTGGGTAGCCAGGAGTTAGGAGAAATGCATTTTCTTATGCTATCCAGAATAAACATTTACAAAACCATCTGGTGTTCACTAGCCTCCCATTTCAGAGTACCCACAGTCTGTCTTTTTTTTAATTTTTTTTTAGAGAGAAGGAGGATAAAGCAACAGCTTCCAATACTTAAAAAACATGAGATAATTTGCTTTATGTCATTTGCTCTGACTATAAGCCTAATAAATAGACCCAAAGCTGCAGACACAAGTTATGTAGCCAAGTGAAGTGGAAAATAGTATTTTATTGAGTTAGTAGTATAGTATCTTATTCTTTTCCACATAAAATTGGAATAAGTGTTGTGATAGTACCTGGCAAGATGGACAGCCTCTAGGGTGAGGAAACATGTCCAAATTACTCTCTTGATTTTTCTTCCCAGGAAATAAGCTTTCCTATTGATCTTGGCTCAGCAATGTTTGTTGAACCTGCTGAAAATAAAAGCATTTTTCTTCTTAAATAAAATGTCTAGGTTCATTCCATGAAGTATTTCTTAAGCAATGTCATTGTTAATTCAGGCACACAGAATTTCAGTCTAATGTTATGCTACATTATAAGAAATAAAGCCAATGATAATGTATATTTTCTCTGGAACATACGGTAAAGCATTTGGATGTTCCATTTGTGCCAGCTGTTGCCATTTATGGGGCGGATGCTCAATAAGTATTGTTGACTTATTGTGCATGTAAGACTCAAGGAAGAACATTTAGGAGGATTTGTAAATTCCTTAGATTACCATAATAATTTGTTGTAACTTTATTTTATGGTTCAGGTTTTAATATCAGTATTTCTGAAGATTACTATTCTGCCCTTTTTGAATGTATCTTGAGATTTAGGCTTACCAAGTAAAACTGTTAACATTTTTTTAGATAAACAGGATTCATATGTTTGAAAATCCTCTTAATCTAATTTTCTTGTAGCCCCGTTCCCATACCTCTTTTTCCCTTTCTTTCTCTTTTCCTTTTTTCCCCCTCTCCAGCCCTTCCCTGGCTGGAAGCCCATCTAATTTTCCAAGTCTCTTTGAATGCAGGGCACAGTGTGTGGTCAGCCTTGCCCCGAGGGTCGTTTTGGAAAGAATTGTTCCCAAGAATGTCAGTGCCATAATGGAGGGACGTGTGATGCCGCCACAGGCCAATGTCACTGCAGTCCAGGATACACAGGGGAACGGTAAGAGATGCTCTTGTATTTCTCTGACCATTTGTAAGTATGTGAAAGGAATCTGAATAGGTCTTGGGAACACATCTGACGTCACGCATCTATGACAGTTCCATAATATTCCGGAATCATGTGCTACTTATGAGGTATCAGTGTGTTTGAACAATTCCATTCCAACTCAGTGCACAGAAACTGAATCGTAGACAGCAGTGGTGAACTGAAGGTGCAGAGAAAGCATTACAAAAAAAAAAGAGAAAGACTCTAAAACATCAGCTATTCAGAAGCTATTGTGAATGAGTCATTCTAAATAGTTGAGTGCTTAGGACAGCCATTTCAAGTATCAAAACTTTTTATATTTCAAGCATTGTGGATTTAAAAAAATATTTTAAAACATGATATGTACTTAGGTAACTTTGAGCTGCTGTTAAGGTTGATGGAAACCTTTGAAAGTAGTTTATGGCAATGGTAGGACCTCTGGTGGCATAGTGTCTAAGGCATTTGCCTATTAACCAGAAGGCTAGCAGTTCAAATCCACCAGCCACTCCTCAGAAGGAAGGTTGAGCAATCTACTTCCATCGTGATACCACCTCAGAAACCCAAGGAGGGGTCACTATGAGTTGGATCCAACTCGATGGCAGTGAGTTTGGTTTTTTGGTAATGATGATGGTTGGTTGTACAACATGATGAATGTAATTAATGTCACTGAATTATATATGGAAAGCATGCTGGAATGGCAAATGTTTTATTGTATATATACTTACCACAATAAAAAGCATGTTGGGCATATAGTTACTACTTTTAATAGAATTCAGCATTCTGTTAAGAAAGTCAGTCATCATATCATGTGATAGGTGATACAACATGATCCATCCAGGCTTATAGGGCTCTCTGGCCCCACATGAAATAAGAGCAAATGACTGTGCCTATGGGATTCTTACATCTGCTTTTTATCTGTATTCAATGATGAATTGTTACCTCAAGGGGCTTTGCTTTCCCTATTTATTCTAATTTGATATTTTCAGTCTATTACATCCTGGAAGGACAACCAAGCTCATTGGACCTCTGCCTAAAATTAGAGAAATGAGACTTAAGAGTTAGAAGAATATAATAGTTAATGGCAAATATTCTGGAATCAGGCTTCCTGGATTTAGGCAGATATGTCCTTGAAAACATTCTTATCTGTAACATTCAAGTAATAATCATACCTTCCTCTAAGGTTTTTGTAAGGCTTAAGTTAGTATATTAAAGCAATTGGAACAGTACTGGAGCTTATCACTGCCGTTGAGTCAATCTCGCCTCATAGCGACCCCTCCTTAGGTTTTCAAAGCAGTTTCTCTATGGAAATAGATTGTGCTGTCTTCCTTCCCAGGAGTGGCTGGTGTTTTTGAACCTCCAGCCTTCTGGTTAGCAGTCAAATGCCTTAGGCACTACCCCACCAGAGCTCCCTTATAAATATTAACTATTATTATTTTTGAGTAGTGGCTATGAACTATATAAATAGTTGATATTAATTATTTTTGACTGATGTCAGTGAGCTAAGAATTCCTTCAACTTTTTCCCCTCATTTTCATTTTTTTTCCCCAACAAGTCAAATTTTATGACTTTTAATAAGATATTATATTTTTCTTTTTCCCCCATTTCCCTGAACTTTATGCTTAAAATTCATTTGTCATTTTTGAAAAAAATACCTTATTTCACTTTCTAACTGGATAAAGAAAAAATTGTTTTGAATATATTTTTATTTAGTCACCGTACCAAACTTTTTAGTTAATTCTAATGTTATTTTTGCAAAGACTAGAGTTATTTGGGTATACAGTCATATCACTTGCAAATAAAAATAATTTAATCTCTTCTTTTCAATGTTTATAATAATTACTTAATTTTCTTGAATTCTTGCATTAATTTGAACTTCTACATCAGTGTTGACTAATGGAGACAAAAAATAGGAATTCCTATATTTTTCCTACTTTTATTAGAAATGGCTTCAATGTACTATCATGTTTGCTGCTGATTTTTAGTTAATTGTTTTTGTGCATAAGTAGTTTGATTTTTTAATCCCTCTGTTACTAAGAGCTTTCTTAGCAGCATCTACTTGTTCATATGAATTTTTTTTCCTTCAATTTTTTCATGTTGCAAATTCTAGATACTTTTATTAATGGTTTATATGATATATAATTGGGCTACTCAGAAAGTTTTTATGACTGACTTCCTGGTTTCAGGTTGTGTTTTAGATAGATGAGATTGTTAGATGAGTTCTGGATCTCTTTGGCTTTCACATTTTATTAAAGAAAATGAGTCAGAAATAGTGCAAGCAGAATCCTAAGCAGTATTTTTGCATAATATTTTAGGGCACTAAAAATTTAAATATAATTCTTTTCTTCCCCTCTAGGGATTTAAGCTTCAAATTAGAGACAGCCCAAACACAACAAACATGTAAGACAAACAGTAAATTATCAGGTGAATTTTAGAGTTCAGCCAAAGAAAGCAAAGAACCAGAGAAAGAGGAAGTGAAAAGGGAGCTTGCTCCTTGATTTGCTGTTGTTGTAGCTTTTGTTTTCCTGATGAACTAATAATGTGATCGCTGTTTTTATTTCATTGTATTATCCCCATTTGGGTTCTAGAATTACACACACAAACAATGACAAGAAACACATTTGCCGCTGTGAAAGGGAGAAAATTAGTTGGCTGTGGATGGCTTGTGGTAGGAGATGTGGGGAAAGAGGCCTTGAGAAGCTGGGGTCTTAACTTGCCATTTCCTGTGTTTTGAAATGTCAGTGTAACTTAATCACTGAGGTTGACCCAAAGGGCTGCTGCTCAGAAAAGCAGGTACCACCACACGTAGCTGCCAGTAAAGCACCACCAGGATGTAGGGATGGCTCCGTCAAACAGAGGGAAAGAGAAAAATAAAACAGGAACATTGTAGGCAGGCAGAACAGCTCATAAGATGCTCAAATAAAGGGCCTTGGGGTTTTGGGGAAGGTTGAAAGGACATTGTGATGGGGAACTTAATGTGTCCCAGTCAAGCAAGAGTGGAAACAATGTGGGTTTCCAGGTCCTCAAAAAATTCTTCTGAAGGAGTTAGAAAATGATGTTCTTAATGGTGGTGTGTTGTCACAGAATTAACCACTCTGGGTATATTTGATGGTCTAGCATGGGTCTGGCACATAATTGGTGCCCAGTAAGTTTTAGCAGCATGAAAGAAGGAAAACGGTGGCTTCGTAATGGTCTCTCAAGGTGAAGGCAGGGACAGTCCTGGAAAGGCTATGTTCTATGTTGTTGTTGTTATGTGCCATCGAGTCAGCCCCGACTCATAGCGACCCCTCCTTGGGTTTCCGAGGCAGTATCACTACGGAAGTAGGATTGCCCAACCTTTCTTCCAAGGAGTGGCTGGTGGGTTTGAACCGCCAGCCGTCTGGTTAGCAGGCAAGTGTCTTAGCCACTATGCTACCAGAGCTGTGTTCTATATTACACTGAAAATGAAAATAAATGGGACGAAAAGAGATAAAGTAAGAATTTATCAGTAGGAATTGAAAGAATGCAGCATTGTTCTTCAGTGGAAGAACTCATTCTTGTATCTGTAACTGGAAAAGTTGGCCCTTTCCCAGTGCTTTTCGTGTTTCCCTAAAAGCAGCAATTCCAGATGTTAGAATGGCAAGCAACTGATCCATCGATCCCAGGTTTCATGAAGAATGTGATTCTTTCACACTAAATCATGTTTTGGTCCAACCATTCCTCTCCCTCTAGAGAGAGACATGCTTAAATGTGCAAGAGTGGAAGAGGGGGCTGTGCCCCCCACATGCTAACTCACTTCCTTTTCCTTAAGTTCACAGTGACATATTAGGTAATAATCAGAATGGAGCTCAAACAAGCCAGTGACTCTCATTGGTTGGGGAATTGGAGTCCTGCTTTATTAGTTCATCTCTACTTAATGCTTAGCCATTCTTTCCAACCCTGGGGCTTTATTTGAAATCTAAAAACAACAACAACAAAAAAATGGAAACCCAGATGTCCATAATTCTACTGTGGCCAATATTTATTGCTCTGTCTTTATGGCTCCTCTGCCATCCCTTCTAAGAAAATGTATTTCCTCTTTCACTGATTCCTCAGATAGCTTTTCTTGTTTCACTCTGAGACACAAAAGCAATATTAAAAGCCTAAAATTCTTCAGGAAGTAGTGCTTCTTTTATGAAAAGGGACCAAAAAGGGAGATGAGTCTGCTTGACAAAGAATTTTAATTGAGCCAATCAGAAAGGCCAAAGCGACTTCATGATTATGTTGATTTTCAAGACAAAAGCTGTCTACTTCCAAAAAGATAGCTCACCATTTTTGTTTGGTAGATAGAAATAGATGCAACTATCATTAGCAGGATTCTCTTAAAAATGCAACATTAAAAAAAGAGGGAGAGGGAATATGGCTAAAGCTTATATAACGGCTACTTTAGTCCCTGAAAGTAAAATTCAGATGACTTTTTGCCATTTATAACACAAATTAGCAGTATGTTTAATTGTAGGCTAAAAAGGTAAATATGGGTCAGGACCAGCTATTATGGACTTTCTCTTTCCCAGAGGAAAGGAACTCTCTGCCAAGGTATGATAGAGTATACCTAGTTGTTCCCTCTAATTTGGTAGCAGACACTTTCCCAGGCTTCCAATTGTACCACAGAAATCCACTTTTAGAGCTGTGTTTTTACTAACTTAAAATCATGGACACGGTCCAGAACTTAAAGTTTGGGTTTGATTTCAGATGCAGGTAGGAGAGAGAAAGTAGTAATATTTTACCAGTGTCTGCTCTTTTGGTGTTGACTTGCAGGAAGATCTGAACAGATAGGTTTCAAAGTTTCCTTACCAGTCTCCAGCAGAAGCCACAATAAGGCCAAATTACTATACCTCAGCATTCTCCTATTGAGAGTTTATATCTTTAAGGAATAAGCTAAGTGTCTTTGCTTATAAAAGCTCCTGACATGTTAAATATAAAGAGTACCTTAAAAAAAAAAAAAAAAAAAACTCTTTTAGAAATAGTATATGCATGTGTCACTAAGGCATTTGGCTGCTAACCAGAAGGCTGGCGGTTCAAACCCACCAGCCACTCCTCAGGAGGAAGCTTGAACAATCTGCTTCCATAGTGATATTGCCTCAGTAACCCAAGGAGGGATCCCTATGAGTCAGGATCGACTCGACGGCATTGAATTTTTAGTATGTATCACTTTAAAACACATATTTCCTTTTATGCTAAAAATTAATTCAATTACTCCAGAACTTTTCTTCTGGTTTGTTGAGGAATCAATTTGAAGACTTTGCCTTTTGGAACAAATAGGACCTTACCAGAAAAAAAAAAAAAAAAA